CGTTCCCCCTGCCACAGGCAGGGCTCCCTTCACATGGCTTAGTGGACAGCGTCCCCCCGTGCTTCACCTCAGCCAAAGGGCCCCTGCTCACTGCCAGTCCCAGCCGTGCTGGAGCCAGCCCCTGGGTGTATTTAGAAGGAACCAGTGTAGCACGAAGAGCATCCTTATGCCCGAGGCCCCCTGGTACCTCGCTGTGAGGTTCAGCTGGCCTAAGCAGTCTGTGCGCCCTCCGACCCCCCCATCATCATAGTCTGTATCTGGCTTCACCTCAGCCAAAGGGCCCCTGCTCACTGCCAGTCCCAGCCGTGCTGGAGCCAGCCCCTGGGTGTATTTAGAAGGAACCAGTGTAGCACGAAGAGCATCCTTATGCCCGAGGCCCCCTGGTACCTCGCTGTGAGGTTCAGCTGGCCTAAGCAGTCTGTGCGCCCTCCGACCCCCCCATCATCATAGTCTGTATCTGAGGGGTGACATCCTGGGTCCCCTTGTCCCTCTAATCCCCAGAGTGACAGGGCTACACCTGCACTGCATTGAACCCGGATGTCAGGGGAGCTGACAAACAGGCTGTCTCCAGACAAAGGAAAGGGACGAATGCCTCAGGCCAGCTCTGGCCAGATTCAGGGGGTGGTTCATCTGCTCAGGAGGCAGCCGGAACAGCTTGTTTGCATAGTAAAAATCACCAGTGGGGTGAAAACAGACAGGTGTCCCCACCCAGCAGGAAAAGAGTAGTAGCTGGTGTGGCAAGGTCCTTGCTCGGGCCCCTTCCCTGGGACGCCTTCTCTGTCCACAGCTTTCTGGTACAGTCACCTGCACCTTTTATTGTCAGGGTCGGTACCCCACCACCTTCTATTTACAGAGCTTTGATTTTCTAGCAGTTAACTCAACCAGCCTCACCTTCTGGCTTGGGAACACACTCAGATACACCCTAGTTCCAGGTTCCTCCCCTTTCACTCTCCCTCTGGCTGATTTATCCAGCCCTCTGGCTAATGAGGCCCAGCACTGCCCTTCCCCCCTGGGCTTGCTCAGCTGGCTGTAATTGGCCTTTTCAGCCAGGCTGAAGCGGCAGAGCCCTGGCTTAGTCAGCAGGCGGTCACACCGGGTTCACTGGAAAGGCCTATTGCACCATACAGAGAGGGTGTGAATCCCTGAATAAGGTTGCCCACTGTCCAGTAGTAGGGTTACCACGTAGACCCCCCCCCAAAATATCAGACACACTTGATCGTGGGCAGGGGAGGGAGGAACCGG